GTCATCTGATCTGAAGACCATGAGCTGCTCTTGACAGAAGAAAGGCATTGGCCACCGCAAAGAGAAATTCAGTTCCCCTCTTCTAGCAAACCAGAGGGCTGCTTTAAAATTAAAATCTAGGCTGGGCACGGTGGCTCATGCCTGTAATCCCAGCACTTTGGGAGGCCGAGGCGGGCAGATCACCTGAGGTCAGGAGTTCGAGACCAGCCTCAACATGAAGAAACCCCGTCTCTACTAAAAATGCAAAATTAGCCGGGCATGGTGGTGCACGCCTGTAGTCCCAGCTACTTGGGAGGCTGAGGCAGGAGAATTGCTTGAACTTGGGAGGCGGAGGTTGCGGTGAGCCGAGATTGCACCCCTGCACTCCAGCCTGGGCAACAAGAGCAAAACTCCATCTCAAAAAAAATAAAATAAAATAAAAAGTAAAATAAATAAAATTAAATTAAAATCTATCCATCCCCTGTGCTTCCCCATCAAGGCTTTGAACATTTCAGGGTTGCTTTCACCCCAGCGGCCCCTGCAGGGAGGAGGCGAGCCTGCCTTCCTCAGCACATAGCCCATTACGGTTCGTGTGAATCCATCAGTTTACCAGCCTGGACAATTCACTGTGCCGCCTCTCATCCCCAAACAGAAACGAAGTCCGCAGCCAGCCCTGAGGTCAGTGTGCCTTCCTGAGGCTCTGTGGGGCGTGGCTGGGGCTGTGAGATCACCCAGGCTGGAAAGCGATAAAACAGGGACTGGATGTGGGCCACTGGCCAGAGATCAAGGTGAGTGCTTCCAGCCCGATGCTTGGTCTCCCTAACAGATTTCTCACCCACAGATGGGGCTGCTTTCTGAGATGTGTAAGGGACACAGGCTATGGTCTTCCAATACCTACCATGGCCACAAAACCAGAGCTTGGCCAAGAGATTCGGGCTGTGTGGCCTGGTGGTGGGCATCCTGCCAATGGGCCTTTTCCCAAACTAAGCAGAGAGGGTATCCTGCATTGGAAGGAGCCAGCTCTGGAAAGCCCGTCAGCAGGCCAGGCAGAGAGGAGGGGGCCATGCCTCCAATGTCCTGCGTGCAGACAAGGACACGGGGTGGGACGCTGGCTTGGAGCAAACAGTGTGATCAAACACAAAGAGTTACATGAAGGTTGCAGGTTGTCTTGAAAACTGGTACCTATGGTGCTCTGGCTTTGGGGGTGTGGGTGGAAGGAGGCATCTGACTCTTAGAAGAGTGCACGGTTCTCTTTTTCTACAGAAAACCAAATTGTGAAGCCCAATCCTAGACTATTCATCTATCATTTCTTTCTTTTTTTTTGAGACGGAGTCTCGCTTTGTCGCCCAGGCTGGAGTGCAGTGGTGCGATCTCAGCTCACTGCAGCCTCCACGTCCCAGGTTCAAGCAATTCTCCTGCCTCAGCCTTCCGCATAGCTGGGACTACAGGCACACGCTGCCATGCCCAGCTAAATTTTTGTATTTTGGTAGAGACAGGGTTTCACCGTGTTGCCAAGGCTGGTCTCGAACTCCTGAGCTCAGGCAATCTGCCCTCCTCTGCCTCCCAAAGTGCTGGGATTACAGGCGTGAGCAACCATGCCCTGCCCTCTTGTTTTTTTTTGAGACAGAGTCACCCAGGCTGGAGTGCAGTGGTGCTATCTCGGTTCACTGCAACCTCCGCCTCGCATGTTCAAACAATTCTCCTGTCTCAGCCTCCCGAGTAGCTGGGATTACAGGTGCCCACCACCATGCCTGGATAATTTTTGTATTTTTAGTAGAGACGGGGTTCACCATATTGGTCAGGCTGGTCTCCAACTCCTGACCTCAGGTGATCCACCTGCCTCAGCCTCCCAAAGTGCTGGGATTACAGCCGTGAGCCCCCACACCCGGCCTATTATTTATTTCTTTAAGGTTAAAATGCAAACAGATTCCTGCCTGCAAGTTGCTGCATGTGACCCTCAGCTGAGGGTGATGGGGTTCCTAGAGCTTGGGGGTCTCCAAGGGCAGGTGCAGGAGGATGCCAGGAGTACCGTTTGCACTCAATGCTGGGGGCAGGTCATTAGGAAGAACGATAACTTAACTCTGCTTTGAATTATTTAGAGTCTCCTCTGTTGCCTAGGCTGGAGTGCAGTGGCGCAATCATGGCTCACTGCAGCCTTGAACTCCTGGCCTCAAGGCATCCTCCTGCCTCAAACTCCCAAGTCACAGGGACTACAGGCGTGTGCCACCATGCCTGGCTAATGTTTTTATTTTGTGTAGAGATGTGGTCTTGCCATGTTGCCCAGGTTGGTCTTGAACTCCTGGGCTCAAGCCATCCTCCCGCCTCAGCTTCCCAAGTAGCTGGGACCACAGGCACACGCCACCATGCCCAGCTAGTTTAAAAAAAAAAAAAATCATTTTTTGTAGAGACAAGGTCTCCTTGTGTTGCCTGGTCTCGAACTCTTGGATTGCCTCAAGTGATCCTCCTGCCTCAGCCTCCCAAAGTGCTGGGATTACAGTGTGAGCCACCGTGCCCAGCCTGCTTTCAATTCTTAAATCCAAGGGAGAAATATAAGCTGGCAAACAAAGTAAGTCTTCCCAATTTTGGGTTGTACTAATCATCTCCAGGATAGAGACTCCAAGCTCAAAGTTACATTTTCTTTCACTCTCATGATCCAGGAAGGGTCTAATTGGGAGAAGCCTCTGGGGCTGCCTAGCGTGGGTGTCTGCTGGAAACTTCTCAAATGTCTCAGCCTATTTAACTGGAGAATTCACTGAAGAATTAAAGGACTCAGTAAAGAAGAGGTTTGGTTTGTTCATGAAAGTAAGTAGCTTGTGAAATGCTTTATTTTCCTGTGACTAAAATTCCACCTTGTAATTCCCAGTAAGGATTGCTTCAAGCTATTCATTAATACAAATTAAACCTGTTTCACCATGTTCATAGGAAAATGGAAAAAAAAAAAAAAGGATATTCATTCACCAACTGAGGGCTGGCTCTTCTTTGAAGGTAGCTCTGAGATTTTTTTTTGTAATGGAGACAAAGGCTTGTTTAACTGTTGGGGAGGGGGAAGGAAGACTTAGGCCAGGCAGGTGGGGACATGGAGGATGAGCCATGAGGGGCAACTTAGGTGCCTCTGAAAAGGTCCAGAGCTACCTTAAAAGACAGGGTTTCTATAACAAGTGGTCCTTTCTTTTCCTTTCTTTCTTTTTTTTGGAGACAGTCTCACTCTGTTGCCCAGGCTGGAGTGCAGTGGTGCGATCTTAGCTTACTGTCACCTCTAGCTCCCAGGTTCAAGCAATTCTGCCTCAGCCTCGCAAGTATCTGGGATTACAGGCAACTACCACCATGCCTGGCTAATTTTTTGTGTTTTTAGTGGAGATGGGGTTTCACTGTGTCAGCCAGGATGGTCTCAATCTCTTGACCTCATAATCCGCCCGTTTTGGCCTCCCAAAGTGCTGGGATTACAGGCATGAGCCACTGCACCCGGTTTACAGGTGGCCCTTTCTAAGCCCTGAGATGTCACTGCCTTTTCACCGAAGGCAGAAAAAGAATGTAGGCATGTTTGTCTGAGAGGCAGGGATAGTTTTAGGAGAAAGGACCATGAGCACATTTTGAGTGGGAAGTGAGTGGTTTCATTTTCTAGCCTTACAACATGGTTTGGCTCTGTGTCCCCACTCAAATGTCATGGTGAACTGTAATCCCCAGTGCTGGAGGTGGGGCCTGGGGGGAGGGATTGCATCATGGGGGTGATCTTCACGAATGGTTTAGCACCATCCTCTTGGTGCTACTCTAGTGATAGCGTTCTCACAAGATCTGGTGGGTGAAAAGTGTGCAGCGCCCCCCGTCTCTTGTCTCTGCTCCTGCCATGTAAGACGCCTGCTCCCACTTCACCTTCCGCTATGAGTGAAAGTTCCCTGAGGCCTCCCCAGAAGCAGAAGCTTCCTGTACAGCCTGTGGGCCACGAGCCAATTAAACCTCTTTTCTTTATAAATTACCCAGTCTCAGGTATTTCTTTATAGCAGTGTGAGAACAGACTAATACACCTTAAAATAGGGATTTACTTTACTATTCTATTTTATGTTTTTGAGATAGGGTCTCGATCTGTCACCCAGGCTGGAGTGCCGTGGCATGATCTCAGCTTACTGCAACCTCTGCCTCCTGGGTTGAAGCGATTCTCATGCCTCAGCCACCCAAGTAGCTGGAATTACAGGCGTGTGCCACCCTGCTCAGCTAATTTTTGTATTTTTAGTAGAGATGGGGTTTCTCCATGTTGGCCAGGCTGGTATCGAACTCCTGGACTCAAGCGATCTGCCCACCTTGGCCTCCCCAGAGTGCTAGGATTACAGGCGTGACCCACCCTGCCTGGTCAGTTTTCTTTGGTTTTTTTGTGTGTTTTTTTTTAAAATCCAGTTAATGCTGGGTGCCATGACTCGCACCTTTAATCCCAGTGCTTTGGGAGGCCAAGGTGGGAAGATCACTTGAGGCCAGGAGTTTGAGACCAGTCTGGGAAACATTTCCTCTCTACCAAAAAACAAAAACAAAAACAAAACAACAACAAAAAAACAGCCAGGTGTGGTGGTGCACATCTGTAGTCCCAGCTCCTTGGGAGGCTGAGGCAGGAGGACTGCTTGAGCCCAGGAGTTCAAGGCTGCAGTGAACTATGATTGCACCACTGCACTCCAGCCTGGGTGACAGAGCAAGACCCTATCTCTATTTAAGAAAAATGCACCTAAGAAATCACCTTAGTGCTTGGATAAGCTACTAAGGTTTTTGTGGTTTTTTTTCCCTAAGTGTATTAATTACATAGCCAATATAATAACTTGGTGGCTAAGATCTTTGAGGTGATTCCAAGCAAGAAGAAAGGAGTTGTTATTAAGCCACAGCTCAGAGTCTCAGAATGAACTATTTCTATTGTCGCTGTGCTTTGCTTAACTGTGGGATAAATATGATTTTTTCAACATTCAACACATGTGTGCTTAATCATTCTCTACGACACTGGTTCCACGTTGCCAAGAGAACCCAGAACGGCCGCAAACACCTACCGGATTGTTACCGGCCTTTCCTGAGAGGATGACCCGGGCTTTGACCTTGTTCATGTTGAAGTTCTTCAAGTAGGCCTCGTAGATTCTCTTGGCCAGAGATTTGAGATCTGCGGTTTCAGAATCTTCTATGTCATGTTCGCAGGTAAGAATTTCTGCTTTCAGTTTTGCTTTTTCAGATCTTGGCATTCGTCCAAAACGAATCGCTAGGGTTTGGAGGGGGAAACAGGCATGAGCAGTGAGGTCATGACTGCGCGGACAGGGCTGGACGAGGGGCTCCCCCAGGACTTAAACCAGGAATGAAAATTCACAGGCAGTTCAGACCCATCCTTGATTACTATTCGGCTTTCCACTATGGAGAGATGAAAAACTCAAACTCCATACGCTGTAGACTTTTTTTTTTTTGAGACGGAGTCTCGCTCTGTCGCCCAGGCTGGAGTGCAGTGGCCCGATCTCAGCTCACTGCAAGCTCCGCCTCCCGGGTTTTTCTCCTGCCTCAGCCTCCCAAGTAGCTGGGACTACAGGCGCCCGCCACCTCACCTGGCTAGTTTTTTGTATTTTTTAGTAGAGACGGGGTTTCACCGTGTTAGCCAGAATGGTCTTGATCTCCTGACCTCGTGATCCGCCCGTCTCGGCCTCCCAAAGTGCTGGGATTACAGGCTTGAGCCACCACGCCCGGCCCACTGTAGACTTTTAAACAGGTGCAGGCTGAAGGTGACACCATTGTTCGTCTCATTAGTAGGGTGCATATCACCATCAGGTGCATCATCAACCTTTGAGTGAATGAGGTGAACGGGGCTTCAGGGTGAGTTTATATAATAACTGCTTCTTTTTCCAGAAGGTAGACATGCAAGTCTTACGAACAACTTACTTTAGTTACATTCACATCACAATTAGCATGTTCTAAAACTATTACATGATTGGCTAGAAGGAAATTCCTAATGTGGCGAGATGTTTGAGGTGGCACACGCTTCCTATGGATGAGGCGAACATTCTGTCATTTTGGTGCCTTCCACTTGGTTTTTCGATTCTGTATCAAAGTCTTACCATTTGAAGTTTCTAACAGCGAGTCCAATGTGCCACTGAATCTCAGCTATTTGAGACTTTT